CACTCTGATGGTGGCCCTACATGTTTTCAGTGTTCATTATTTTATAATTTAACTGATCATTATTTCAAGTGGCAATCAAAAATTATTGGACAAGTATGTTTGCATTTTTCTACAGTTTTAGATTTTAGGTGCATGGCTCATGACAAATTTGGTAAAACAAATTATACAATTTATAATTAAAGCTTACATGCCTCTAAGTCTAGCTTCTATGTAAACTACCTGGTTAATCTACCCATGTTCCTGTATCCCCTCATAGATAGTTAATTATTTTGATATCCTGAGTGACCATGAGCAGTCAGGAGTTCATGGTCTTCTAGTGTCATATCCAAAAGAAGCATTAATAATAACCCATAGATTAATAATCATGTATTTTATAATTATGGTCAGCAAGCACATCTCAAGCCGTTTGGAAGCAATTGTGAAGTCTATGGTATTCGGTCATAAGTAAGAGGTGTGACATATCTGTGGAATTGATCAATTGCATGCCAAGCACAAGAAAATCAAATCACATTTTTCTATTAGAATTGGTGAAATACAAGGGGGAGGATCATTTCTTCCACCTCTGGGCCAACCTAGAAAATTGAGATGAAAACATCTATAAATAAATCTAATGATGGGCAAATGTCTAGTGTGCTTACTAAGGGCCAATAACTAATTTTGAGTATGTAACCACACACACACACACATATATATATATATGTAATTTTTATTTCTACATTTTTGAAAATGTGTTTAATTTTATTTTTTTGCATTTTTTATTTTTATTTATTTATTATTTATTTTTTGTTTTTGTTTTTTATAAACAGGCCAGAGCCCCCCCCCCCAGATGGAAAAGTTACTTTACCATCTACGTGAGAAGTTATGTTTTCTGTTTATTTCTCTTATTTTTATCTGTTTTGGTGTAAATTGTGTATTAGTCATCTGTTCTTTGTATGCACTTTGAAAACTGCTATCTTCATAATAAATATTCCTCTCTTAAGTTCTGCCTTGTCTGGTAAAGACTCATGTTACTTGATTAGACCACATTATTAATCATTTAAAATCACATAGATAGTGTGCTTAATTGTATTTTGTGGGTTTTTAGTCTAATTTGCTTGGGGGACCGAGGCACCCCATTTATTATTATTTTTATAGCGCCAACATTTCCACAGCACTGTACAATGGGTGGACTAATAAACATGTAATTATAACCAGACGAGTTGGCCGCGCAGGAACAGAGAGGTTGAGGTCCCTGCTCTATGGGCTTACATGCTTGAGCAGTGGTTCCCAGCCCAGTCCTCAAGTAACCTCTAACAGTCCAGGATTTAGGGATTACCCAGCAGTTGTTGATGTTTTTAGAAAAAAAACAAAAACACTTTAGACACAACAGGGTAATCCCTAAATCCTGGACTGGTAGGGGGTTCTTGAGGACTGGGTTGGGAACCCCTGTGCTAGAGGGAGTGAGGTAAAGTGACACAAAAGGTAAGGGTAGGAGTAGAGAAGTAGATTTGTAGAAAAGTATTTACTGGAGACTTGGAGTGTGTTTTTTTAATGACAGTGGCAGGATAGGAATCAATTGTGAGCTATTAACAGTTTAATTGATAAGCTTTCATGAAGAAGTGCTGTTGTAATGATTTTTTGAAGGAGTGAAGACTAGACTAACAGAGAAGGGAAGGGAGTTCCGCAGGAACGGTGCAGCACTAGAGAAGTCTTGAAGGCAAGCATCAGAGGTGGGAGTACGGACAGAGGTTAGATGTAGGTCTTTGGCAAAGCGTAGTGGCCTAGACGGGACATACTTGTGTATTAGGGAGGATAGACTGGTTGGAGCAGCATTATGTAGAGATTTGAAAGTAAGAGTCAGAGACAGAGGGGTGAGGTGTGGACAGACAGGAAGACAGGAAGATGAGCCATGCTGCCGCATTCATTATAGACTGGGGCAAGTTGGAAGCACGTAAAACCATTGGGAAATGGATTACAGTAGTCAAGGCGAGAGAGGATAGTGGCATGGACCAGCACCTTAGCAGTGACTGGTGTTAATAAGGGGCAGACGAGCGCAATTTTTTTGAGATTGAAGCGGCAGGTTTTGGCGATTGACTGGACATGGCTCAATACTTTCACTTCCTTGTTCTAATGACATATATAAACATTGCCATTAGTTCAGTAAATACAACGTCAGTCAGCTCGCTGAACCTTCTATAGGTGTCGGACACTCAGAATTGCCTTGTAAGAAGCCAAAATATTTTTTTATGTAACGAAGCATTTTTTTATTTTCTTAATAGCTCAGGATTTTAAACTCATACTGACATATGAATGTTATAAAGCAGTGTTTGTGTATAGATCGTGCCTCTGTAGGCACACTGCTCAATTCTCTGCCATTTAGGAGTTAAATACATTTTGTTTCTGTTTATGCAGCTCTAGCCACAGCTCCCCTGTCTGTGACTCACTCAGCCTGCATGGTTTCATTTTCAATCAGATAGTAGCTTACTTTATATGTATCTGTCTCCTTCTCTGTAAATTTAACTGTAATTACATACAGGAGGCTCCTGCAGGGCAGTGGTGTATTTTAGTTTTGTGCTGCCCTAGGCTTGACTAAACCTGGGCAACTCCCTAATCTAAATTTGCCCCACTCCTTCCTGTCAAGGCTGCACCTCTTCTTTAAACTACACCTTTTCCTACTACTTTTAAAGGGACACTATAGTGCCAGGGAAACAAAGCTGTTTTCCTGGCACTATAGTTCCCTATAGTGTCCCCCTCAGCACTGAAGGGGTTAAAAGCCCTTTGGTCACTTTCCTGAATCCATTGCCGATGTCCCTAGGCGCTGGGTCAAGCTCCTCCTCTGCGCTTGCATTAGGCTTCCCCATAGGAAAGCATTGTATTAATTCTTTCCTATGGGGATTTAGCAGACGCCTGATGTCCTCATGCACAGCGTGAGGACGTCCAGCATCAGTTAGGCAAATTTTGGTTGCCTAACCACCCTGAAGTCCCTTTGGTGGCTGTATGGCAGACAGTCACCAGAGGTGGAGTTAACCACTTAAGGTAATTATTGCAGTTCCTGAGAAACTGCAATAATTACACTTGCAGGGTTACAGAAATTAGGACACTGCACCCAGACCACTTCAATGAGCTGAAGTGGTCTGGGCACCTATAGTGTCCCTTTAAGCACACACTCTGACACACACATTCACTGACAGACAGACACCGGCAGAAACACACTGACAGCCACACACACAATGACAGACACACAGATGTCACTAACAGTCAGATACACTGATTGGACACGCATTTATTGAGACATGTTGGCAGATACACACTTACAGTCACACACATATACTCACTGACAAACACAGATTCACTGATTTGACACACACACATTCACTGACACACACTCATTCATTGACAGTCACACACGCACACTGACAGACAGTCATTGTAAGACACACTGATAGTCACACAATCAGAGACTCTCACTGATTTGACACACACACACACGCATTAACAGACACACGCATGCACTGACACTCACCGACACACACACACTCACAGACACACACACTCACATATACACTCACAGAAATACACACTTACATTCACACACTCACAGACACACACACTTACAACTTATTAATGTAATTAATTAATTAAGAGCTGGCGTGGATCCATCCCTGGGGTCCAGTGGGACTGCTGTGAGGCGGCTTACCATCCGTGGCGCTGAGGGAGCTGTGATCTCCCTGCTCTGCTCCCTCGTGCCGCGCGGACTGTCTACTGATGCCATCAGTAAACGGCATGCGAGCAGAACAGAGAGATCACAGCTCCCGCGCTGCCTCGGATGGTAAGCCGCCTGCCAGCAGATCAGCTCTTGCCCCCCCCCCCCCATGACAGGGGAAATCACAGGGGACACCTCAGTGGGCGTTTTGAGGGCGGCGTTTTTTGCCGCCCCCTAAATAATGCCTACCAAGGCAAATGCCTAGTTTGCCTTGGGCTAAATACATCCCTACTGCAGGGTCTAGTAAGCTATTAACAGAGCAGGAGATAAGAATTTCTCAATTAAACAGAATGTGCAATGAGGGGAGTATAAACATTAGATGACTCTTTACAGGAAGTGTTTAGGTAGGCTGTGCAAATCACATGCAGGGGGTTGTGACTAGGGCTGCATAAACAAAATCATAAATGGCTGAAAATTGAGCAGAAGTCCCGCTGAAGTGGACGCTGTCACGACCCGTGCCAAGACCCGTGCCGCCGAGACCGGCCCACCTGCTGCTGAGACCCAGGTAAGACTCTCTACCCCGACTTGTACCTTAGATCAGGCCCCTTTAGGCTGGGACACCCCGGAGATGTACGGGAGGGAAACCTGGGAAGACCCAACTTTAGAGAAGTATAGAGCCAGGGCAGATACTGGGGGAGAGGGGGTTGATGTTACGAGTGGGTGGGGGATAGGCTGTACAGGATCCCTAAACCGTCCCAGAGACCAAGTACCCCTCAGAATCGGCAGCTGGTGGTGCCTGCGAAATACTGGCAAGAGATTCTGCGGATTGGGCATGATGTGCCATTAGCGGGCCATCTAGGCTCCCGCCGCACAGCTCATAGGATCGCCCAAAATTTCTTCTGGACTAATTTCAACCAAGATGTGCGGGTCTATTGTAGCACGTGTGACACATGTCAACGAGTAGGTAAACGGGGGGATCACCCAAAGGCTAGGCTCATATCGATGCCTATCATTGGAGAACCCTTTTCCCTCATAGCCATTGGCATTGTGGGTCCACTGGCCAGGGCTAGCCCATCTGGTAAGAAGTATATTCTCACCGTGGTGGACTATGCCACACGTTATCCAGAGGCAGTAGCGCTCTAATATAGAGGCAGAGACGGTTGCTGATGCCCTGGTTAAAATTTTCACTAAGGTCGGGTTCCCTCAGGAGATCCTCTCCGACCAGGGAACTTCGTTTACCGCTGTGCTCTCCCAGCAGCTGTGGAAGGTGTGCGGCGTTAAACCGCTGCTTAGCTCACCTTATCACCCACAGACTAACGGTCTCTGCGAGCGATTTAATGGCACCCTCAAACAGATGTTGAGGACCTTTACTGACACTTGCAGAGACTGGGAACGATTCCTGCCTCATCTGCTATTTGCATACAGAGAGGTGCCCCAGCAATCTACTGGGTTCTCTCCCGTTGAGCTACTCTATGGGAGAAGGGTCCGTGGACCCCTAGATCTCATTAGAGGACACTGGGAGGGAGAGACATAGCAAGAGGGAACCCCCATCGTGCCATACGTTCTGGAACTCCGGGACCGCATGGAGAAACTATCCCTGATGGTAAGGGAGAATCTCCAGGCGGCCCAGGGGAGACAGAACAGGTGGTACGATCGGGGTGCCCGACAGCGGGTCTTTCAGGTTGGGCAAAAGGTTCTAGTGCTCAAGCCTGTGAAGACGAACAAGATGCAAGCATCTTGGCAGGGCCCGTATAAAGTGTTAGCTCAGGTGTGTGATACTACCTATCTTATAGCCAGCTGTGCAGATGAAAGGATTCAGCGATCCTTTCATGTGAACATGCTGAAGGAGTATCAGGAGAGACCAGAGGATGTCGCTGCAGTATGTGCCCCGGCTGCCGACGACCCCGAGAATTTACCCTTGCCCGACCTATTAGAGAAGGACCCCCAGACTGACCTCACTAGTCTTGTACAGCTAGGGGACCGGTTAAGTCCCACAGAGAAGGTACAGGCAAGACAGCTTCTATGGGAGAAGCAGGCGACGTTCTCACAAGAACCCGGCTACACTACCCTAGCTGTACACAAGGTACAGACACCCGGACAGAGTCCCCTACGACAGCCCCCCTATCGTATCCCTGAAGCAGTCCGGGAAGGAATGCGGAAGGAGATACAGGAGATGACCAGGCTTGGCGTCATCGAACACTCAGACAGCCCTTGGACCTCGCCTGTAGTCCTGGTGCCTAAGAAAGATGGGACCACCCGGTTCCGTGTGGACTACAGGCGGCTCAATGAGCAGACCACCACTGACGCCTACCTGATGCCCTGGGTAGACGAGTTATTAGACCGCATTGCCAGGGGGCGCTATCTGACCACCATAGACCTGTATAAGGGTTATTGGCAGATCCCCCTGGCCGAGGATGCTATCCCTAAGTCGGCAATCGTCACCCCATTTGGTCTGTACCAGTTTAAGGTCATGCCATTTGGGATGAAGAATGCCCCGGCTACCTTCCAGCGTATGGTGGATAGGCTTCTCGATGGCTTCCAGGAATTTGCATGTGCATACCTGGATGACATTGCGGTCTACAGTCCTGGGAAGAACACCTGGTACACGTAGGGGTGGTTCTGGACAAGATTCGGGCCGCTGGCCTGACCTTGAAGCCAGACAAGTGCCATCTAGGCATGGCAGAAGTGCAGTACTTGGGTCACAGGGTAGGATGTGGGAGCCAGAGACCAAAGCCAGCCAAGGTAGAAGCTGTAGCTAACTGGCCCACTCCTATCACTAAGACCCAAGTGCTGGCCTTCCTGGGAACAGCAGGGTATTACCGACGCTTTGTCCCCAACTACAGCACCGTTGCTAAACCCCTGACTGACCTGACTAAAAAGAACTTACCTAAGCAGGTCCTGTGGTCTCCAGCTTGTGAAGCCGCGTTTCAGGCATTGAAGCAAGCTCTGGTGAATGCCCCTGTCCTGGCTGCCCCAGTCCCTAACAAACGTTTTCTCGTCCATACAGATGCTTCCATGTATGGACTGGGGGCTGTGCTGAGCCAGGTCGGGGAAGATGGAGGAGAGCACCCTGTCGCATATCTCAGCAGAAAGCTACTACCTCAGGAAATGAGTTATGCGGCAGTGGAGAAGGAGTGTTTAGCCCTGGTCTGGGCATTAAAGAAATTGAGCCCTTATTTGTACGGGCAGGAGTTCTCGCTCATCACGGACCACAATCCCCTTGTCTGGCTTAACCGGGTCTTTACCCTTGCCCGACCTATTAGAGAAGGACCCCCAGACTGACCTCACTAGTCTTGTACAGAGTTTAGCTTTACAACCTTACAACTTCACCATCAGCTACCGACCCGGTAAGCAGAATGGGAATGCAGATGGATTGTCCCGGCAAACAGACGTCCCTATTACCTCCTAGTCCGGTCATCCCCAAGTTGACCCACCACAGGGTCAAGCCGGGTCTGCCGGAGTGTTCCACAAGGGGGGAGCAGTGTGACAGATCCATCTGTATAGACTAAGATTGCTGGTTCGTCTGTTTTGCCTTTTCGTGGAATTACCCGTTCGTATGCCCCTGTGCAGTGAACCGAACGGACGGCCACCCAGAAGAGAAATGTGCTGCTGGTTAACCTATTGATCCCAATTAGAACGTTGCGGTTAAAACCGAATACAGGGTGGTCGTCGTTCATATGTCGACCACGAGGCGGCAGCCATTTTAAACCATGCGAAAGACCAGCGGTGTTCGGCATTGATTTCATGGAACTGAAAACGGACACTTTTTCAACTGAACACCGCTGAAGCCGTCGACCTCCCTTCTCAATCGACAGAAGTGTGCGAACACTGGCCGTTCGGGAGGTTTAAACGCACGGATGGACTTACCCCAGATAGCCTTCCCATGGAGTCAATCGCATGCCGAAAGACTGTAATAGACTTTGACTCCATGGCGATTGAACTATGCGTATGGGATCTGAGCGCTATTCGCCAATAATATGCACTCAGATCCAGGCTATCCGGGGATATGTGATACGAATGGGTAACATTCTACAAATGTAAAGTTATGTATTTTTCTATGTTTTTCTTTGTGGAATTTAAAATGGCGATTTGCCTCTGTTCTGGAGATAATTGAATTACTTCTCAATTATCTCCAGGGCAGAGGGGAGGAAATACTACTGCATGCTGGGAATATTCTGTGTCTGTGGGTCCTATTCTATGTCTGTCTATTGTTACAGTCTCCCATTTGGTCCCCTAGGGGAGTGTCCACCAAGTGGGAGACCTGCATAAATACGGGCAGATAGCCCACAGTAAAGCCAGTTCTTGTTTTACCCCCAATGCGGAGCTTGGTCTCGTTATTGGGGGGATTTATTACCGACGACTAGAGACTGCCGGATGGAATTATTAGCCGCTTGGGAGATATATGCGTTCGGCTACTATTGGCGATTCGTGAGTTTGGAGCTCGTGGAGTGAAGTGCCCGTACTGATCCCGTTCGTGAGTTTACAGTGTTCCCCTGCTTGCGGTTCGCATGATTGTACCTGATACACATGCAGCCTATGTTATTGCGAGAGGGGAGCATTCACTAAACGGCGGTTCATACATTTAATGCTGAGGGTACCGTAACACCCAACATCCAGGGCTTGTTACTATTACCCAATTTAATGATACTCATTTTTTTTTTTTTACCTCAGAAGGATGAAGGGGTAAAGGAGTCAACCCAGCCAGGATTCAAACCTCCAACCAAAAAGTTGTGCCATTCTCTACTGATGCTGCATTAGTCCATTGAGCTATCTCACCAGCATGGCAGCTTGGTGTTCTGAGAATCAGATGGTGGAGAAGAGGTAACACATTATGTTCAATCAATTTCTTCAGGAATTAGAATCTGTTATGTCACTAGATGGTATTCTTATTGAAAGTGAAGGAAACAAAATACAAAAAAAAAAAACAAATTTAAAACAAAATATGAGAGGTCGGCTATACAGAATAGGTTCTGACAATACAGTGGTTGCTAGCACTGAAACAGCAGATATCTCTCTAATGAGACAGAGAGGGGTATTTTTTATATACACCCCTATATATTTATTAACCCTTAATAGGAAACAAATGGGATGGGCAGCAGCATTGTAACAAGGCTGTGTGATACAAAAAGTGAATACAAATACAAA